TTTTTAAAATCAGATTTCCTTTACTGTACAGGGAAAGGTATTTGCTGAGGGATTTGCCCCCCCACCCCCCCTCACTGAACCCTACATAGATGCTCCCTGTCAGCCCTGACCCCATGGGCCACTTGCTCAGAGGCAAGCAAGGAGCTGACCTGACCATCTTCAAGCACTGACAGTGGTGAGGCTGGGGTGTCTGTCTTGAATGTTGGGGGTGGTTCCAATAAAGACCCAAAGGGCAGTTCCAACCTCAAGAGCTAAAATTCGATTTTGTAGATGTAGGGTGATCAAAGAAATTGCTGTGAAGTTTGAGGATATGCATGAAGATGCATTTGAAGGAAGAATATTCCTTCTGCAGAACCCAGAGGAGAGCAGGGTGGGCGAGTGGAGGGCAGAAGCCAGGGGAAGCCCAGGTGATTGTTGAAAGCCACAGGGAGAGTGCGGATAATAGTCGAATATGTCCCAAGTCCACCCAGAGGGACAGGCCAGCGTGGGAGGTCTCTCCTTTTGCCACAAGGAACCCTCACTCACCTCCAGCTTGGCCTTAATCTCCAGGGCACAGTTTTTGCATCCTGACTGGTAACGGGCTACAAGATGGGACTGCCTCCAGCCCCTCACACAGGGTCCAAGCAGGTTGCCTAGCCCAGAAAAGAGTAAGAAGAGGAGAGGCTGCTGGGCTAACTTACAAACGACAGACTTAAAAAACTAGAAAGCTCCAGGAATAACAAAAACCAAAATTCAACCTTTTTAGCGAAACACCTGAGGAACAAGGAAGGATGCCATAGATAGTTAAGCTTGGTGACCTGAGGTATAAGGAACGAACTCTACGTTGCAACATGAGATACACGGGCTCCAGTTCTCATCTCACTCAGGGACTTGAATTTTATATCATGGACGTGAAATTTGAAAAGTTGGAAGTTGAATGTCATGATTAAATGTGGGTATCACACAAAGACAGTGAGACTCTTAATTGCAAATGAAACTCCATTAAAAAATTTAAGTGGGAGTTTTGTGAATTGATTTAGGCTTCTGGGGTAGAAATCTGGACCTGATTTTGAGGGATGACAGGATCAAAATTTTCTATCACGCCAAGGGGTTTGGGCTTCCTCCAAAAGGTTTTACGAAATGTGATGGTGAGGTTGTTTTGTTTTGCTTTGTTTTTTTCTTTTGCTGTGGGAGATAAGTCCACAGAAAAGCATGATAAAATATATTTTATGGCTAACCGCTTTGGACTTCATTATTACAAGCAGCAAGGAAACACTGAGAAATTGTAAATAGGGAAGTTTAACAGGCACAAATTTAAAGATCATGCCCAAACATTCTGACTTTATATGTTGAAGGAATGCCAAGGTTTGACTCACAGGGCATGCCAAAGAGATATGATATGTTGACATTGAAGAAAGATTTTAATTAAAAGGGTTACATGACCAGGACTGGGACGATGCAGAGAAATTTGGAATTTATTTAGAGGCTCTGACATGATGAGAGTTCTGCTCACTCTTAGGAATTTGATTTATCTAATAGAAGTTCTAACGGAGTGACATGGTGAAGTTTTTGTGTTTGATAAATACAACACAGTGAATTATGAAATCAAATTCCCACTGCATGCCAAGAGTCTGGACTTTTATGTTGTGCACGATTAAGAGACACTGTAGGATTTTTAAGGTGGAGTTACAAGATCAAATTTAATGAACTGTGCTAGGTTGTGAGAATTTTATTTTAAGGGATGACATGATCAAAATTTTATATCACTCTACTAAGTTTGGATTGAAGCCAATAAAGGACTTAAAAGTGTGATGGGGTGAGAGTTGAGGGTTTTTATAGACCAGCTTGGAGGTGAGTAGGATGGTAAGATGACGCACTATCAGCTAAGAATTTGGGACTTAACCTACAAGCAATGAGGAGTCTTTGCAATGTCTTAAATTGCGCTGTTGTTACGTGTTCCGATTTACACACTTCGGCAGAGGAGAATGTGGATTTTTATAACATGCATGGGAGATGTGATATGTGTGTGCGCGTCGAAGGCTCTGTTGTCGAGGGGTGAGGTAATACCATTTTGAATCCTTCTGTAGGTGTTCAGAGTTTGGCTAGTGAAGTGTTTTAAGGAGTGAAACAGTGAGAGTTTGTCTCCAGAGGAATTCTATGGTTAAAACATGCTTTATACTAAGGTATGGATTTGATGAGCCATTTAATGCATGGATGAGTGTCCGCTGCCTCTCAGCACAAGGGCATCCAGTGTGGGCTCCATGCTGAGGAGCTGGGTCACTTACTGACCGGGCGGAGAAGTTCTATGATGACATTTACATAGCATGCAAAGTTTAGACATGGTTTTAAGAACAACAGGAACATGCTGTCATGCCATGCTAAGGAATTTGGATTGTCGCCATTGTGAGATTTTAGGAGAATGACATCATGAGATTTTTGTGGTGGATGAGGTTGGTCTGTTGAGAAATGTAGGGTTTGTTCAGGATTTAGACTTGGTCTCACAGGTAATACAGAGATCTTGGAAAGTTGTAAACAGAAGATACAACAGTCATTGCACACATGTTGCAAGAAGTATGACCCTCTGCATTGAGAAATAACATGATCAAATTTTCCTACTGTGTTAAGAGCTGCAGACTTAAGCTAGTCAAAGGTTTCTGGAGTCACCTATGAAGGTGTGGATTTTGAATTGATCACTTGGCAATTAGATTATATAGCTAAAAAGTTTAATTTATGTTAAGTGGTTGGAACTGTGTGTTTGAATTTTAAAATTATGAGATAACTTTTGTTTGTATTGCTAACAGTTTAAATTCTGATATTCAGGAGTATTAAGATTTTTATGACAGGCCAAGAACATGAGATTTTAGGTAAAAGTGGAAAGATTTAATCACTTGCACAATCAAATTGGTAAATCTGATAAGAAATATAGACTTATTATTAAGAAGGTGTATAATCTGCGTTTTAAATCAGGTTAGCGAGAATTTCAATTTTAATCCATAAGTGACTTAAGTGATAGACATGGCTGAGGTTTTTACGTCTGACAGATGAACCTGCAGATAAATTAGTCAAATTTTGTGTTTCAATTAGAACTTTATATTGGGGTCTTGGAATCTCATAATCATGGCACATACCTTAGAGGACTTTTATAAAAAGGCAATGAGTTCATTTATGCAATGTGCATGTTTCTGAGATGAAGATTTTTTTACCTAATTTGTGTACCAGGCTTTCAGAATGTGATTTCTCCCTCAAGGAATGACAAGTTGGAACTGTGTATTGTGCTAAGGCCTTTAAATTTTAGCCAGAGAATGGTTTTGGTAAATTTACATGTCAGATGTGTTTATACTGAAAGGTTTGGATTTAATATTGCAGACAGTAAATAAACAGTGAGGCTTTAATCAGAAGGATTGCATGATCAAATTTAAGTGTCATGCTAACAAAAGTATGCCTAATTCTGAGAAACAGCAGATCTGTATTTTGTATCCTGCAGGAAAGTTTGGATTTTAGCCAGTGTGGAGTTGTACATAAGGAAAAACATAGTTTTGGGGTTTTGTTGTTATTTTTTAAAATAATAATAATAAAATA